ACCTGACCTGACCTTGACCTTGACCTTTGAATGACATTGTATGCAACGAATATTGTCTTGGTAGTCTAAGAACACGTTTTGGGCAATCAGTCTCAGTCCATTCTTCGGCAACTACGGTGCAAGGCCGATACTGTAGAAACTTGCATCTTGTACACTTGACCTGACCTTGACCTGACCTCTGACCTACTTAAGCAAAAAAATTTGAGCTCTTAAGATCCGCCTTGTTGAGAGCTTTCTATTGCCGTTTCCCCGTCTTTCTACGACCATCGGTTCGGAAGTTAGACAGGGGGGGGGGGGCAGAATCTGCCCCCCCCCCCCAGCAGGGCGCGTATGGCTGAATAGCCCAGCGGGGCGCGGGTTAATTGAGATGTTCGCCGGGTCAAAGAAAATGCGGGGATTAAAGAAAATGCCGGGCAATAGGAAAAAAAATTGTTTCGGACGTCTATATGTTTCGGGTTCAAGAGTGTACAGACTTTGATAAAGAGTTTGAGCGCCACTCCACAAAGTCCCCGACACCAGCGATAAATAGCGACATGATGACGTGGCGGAGCAGAAACAAAGGCACCATCTTGAAATAGTCACTCAGTATTGTTCACACGACTTTGTGAATACTGAAAGTCCTTCGTTTCTGACGTCAGAAATAAAGTGCGGGTCACAACTTCATTGCATGCTTTGAAAGTCAGTGTGAAGAAGTCGGCGCTCAGCAAGACGCGTTACGCATAATCACGAGGGAGGATTACATCAGACCAAGGCTCTGGTTCATAGCCATCTTGCGATCAGTCTATCGTCGACTGTGATTTATCGTCGAAAACAATTTAAGTGGCCGGATACATTTGCCGATTCAAATTGCTACGTCAATGCTTAAATTATTTCTAAAATACAACATGACACTCACCTGTTGTGGTGTATCAAAATGAGCATGTCGTAGAATAGGATTTCCATCCAAAAAAGTGGCTGTGAAAAACCATTATGTATTTCTACCAGCTTTACACTTATACAGTTACATGAACAGTAGCATTGCAACTTACACATGCTCAACTCAGCTCGAAACAAATGAGCATGCATCACCATTTAGCTACAGTCGTTCCCTTCCCGGTCATAGAGTCCACATCCTCTTGCTGAAGGCCATGTTGGTCTTTCAGGTGTCTCTTCAAGGAAAACATGGAACACAATACTTGCTGGCAGATGCAGCAGGTCGTCTGTCCGGTATGTTTTTTGAGGTGGTTGTTGAGGCTGCTTCGACCCGAATACATGGCACCGCATATATGACAACTTCGGGCGCCCCGATCGGAGAAGCCTGAAAAAATAGTGACGAATTTAAGAGAGAACACAAATCAGAAAAAGAATGTTACCGCTAGTCGAAGGAGAAAACAGCGGTATGGTTTGGATACGATTAGTATGTGTGAAGAAGAGATTGATTTCATGTTTGTTCAAAGAAACTGGAAATGTTAAAGATACATGCGCGAACAAGAAAATAAGGAGTTCATAAACACGATTTTTGTAAGGGGCAAAATAGTTGTAGCTAGAGGGTGAACCGCTTGCTCCGCAACGCAAGGAAGAGACATTTACGGCCCGCGCGTGTTGAGTTGGTCCTCTGGCTATTTTGTATTCTTCACATGACTTTATGTCTCTCACCTCTAAACTCAGAATTGAAGCGCAGGTCACCACTTTATTGCATGAAGTGTTAACACACACGAGAAGAAGCAATTCCAGCGTGCATTTTTATATGAAGTGGGTTCTGGCAGGAATAACTTAACTGCATGTTTTGAAAGTTAGTGAGAAGAGGCCGGCACTCAGCAAGACGCGTTACGCATATCCACGAAGGAATGTGGCGTCAGACCAAGACTCTGTTATTTATTATGTTACCTTGTGTTGACTATCCTGACTTAAGTTCATCGTCGCTGACGATTTATCGCACCAAACGAAGCGGAAGACTTCAATTTATCATAGGAAAGAAGCGATGTTACGTAAATTCACTTCCAAGCTGTTTTGTGCTACACCTACAACCTACGAAAGACGTGGACAAAAAACACCAGTTTATGTTGGCCATGTGTGCCCGTAACGAGCCCTGTTCGTTCTGAGATTGTTAGCTGGCAAAATCTACAACCAACAAAGCACCACGATTACACCTCATTGTAATTAGTTGATAGTTGTGGCAGAATATACCAGCCTGTTGAGACTCCACCAGCAACCCGACAAGCATTGCAGCATGAGCCATTTCCAAAAACACGTTTGTCGGGGTAGTACAGACCTCTTTATTAGAAATGACAGCGGCGAGGACAAGGGCGGAAAGTAGTCCTAGAAAATCTATAGTAACATCAGTAAAAGCATTGTGTAGACGTTGCTTTGCAGGTAAAAGAAGCGAACCTTGGCTGTTCACGTGACAAAAAGAAAAAGAAAAAATGACAAGTGTTAGGAATCTGCGTTTTCAACACGGCTAACTAAACGACTGAGGCTGAGCAGCATTGTAAGTTATACACAATGAATGTCGACATTCGGTGATCACAGCATGCAACCATACGCTGTTACCTTTTCTGTCAAGTGCTGAACAAAGTAATGCTACTGCATCTTATGAATCACCAGATCACATATAACGCATCAGGCCAGTAGCTTTTCACCACTACCTACACCAGCGACCTCACCAAACCACCAATCTCCGAGCATCATCACCGAGCGTCATTACTATTGGCGCCCAAAGTAAAACTCAACGCCTCATGTCTATATACACTCAAAAAACATTCCTATCTCCCCACTCTAATTTCACTTTACCCTTTCACTTCCAGCCTGCATGCAATCAAAACATGCCTACATCCTCACTCCCTTGAGGTAACAACACCTCCTCCTCCCTCTCCTGGTTGCGTTCTTGTCATAGCAGCCGCAGCATCTCTATCTAGCTTATGTTGTAAGACCAAGTGCCTCCTGAGAGCGAAAACCGTAGAGAGGGTATGTTGGCAGAGTTGACAGGTGGTTTGGCCCAGATGCACCTTCATGTGTTTCTTCAAGGTGCGCCGACTGTGATAGGAGTAGCCGCAGACTGGACAGACGAGTATTTGGCGACCTGTGAACAAGACAGCGAGTGAGAGTCATAGTGGTGATGATGATGATGATGATTGATGACTATGATAAGGATGATACTGATGTTGATGACGATGATCATAATGGAAAGACCTGTCTTTGAGGACCCAAGAACAAAAAGGTGAGTGATAGTGATTTTCGACCCACCTGTCACGATGTCCTCTGCTGAATTCCCATGAATGGCTCTTGAAGTGCAAATGAGACTAGCCTCTATGAGACCAATGTCAGCGTGGAATATTTCAACAAAGTCTGGTGTTCTGAACAGCGGTGAACCGATAAGCCTCCTCCCATTTGTTACTAGCAGACATGTGCATGGATCCGAGAAAATGGATCTGGGATCTGATCCCACGGATCCTGATCTCGGATCCGTCGGGATCATAGATCCAGTTCTGTAATTTATCGAGAGATCCATAGGGATCACAGATCCGAGTCTCATTTTTTGCTTGAGATCCAGTGAGATCATAGATCCTCACTTATTTCTTGTTAACACATATATCCAAAAAAGCACTTGTTTTAACTCACAAACGTTCTGTTTTAGTGATTTTATGTGATCGCACGTCATAATCCATAGTTTTGTGTCACTTATTGGCATAGAAACCCTTTAAAACATGGTTTCAAGTGTGGTGCATGGTGGGATCCACTCAGATCATAGATCCATGTTCTTAATTTATCGTCAGATCATATGAGATCATAGATCCAAGATGTATTTCTCACGCCGGATCCGGTGGGATCATAGATCCCAACCTGTACTTTGCTTCGAGATCCACTGAGATCATAGATCCATCACTCGGATCCATGCACATGTCTGGTTACTAGCAGTCGATGGTGCTCACGTGTCTACGTTAAACATACCTACAAGGTAGTGTGGTTGGCCAACTGTCAGTGTACCTATCAACACCGTTCGAAGCGTTCCCTCACCTCCACACAGCCAAGCCACAGCCGCACAAAGACACCAACTACAATGCGTGTGAATGTATACAAAGAACCATCCAAAAGCAAGGTAAGATCGATACAAGGAGGCGTTTATTTACAACTCTACACTATTTCAAAATTAATGAGCCGTTGTTCGCAACACAGACATCAACAGATAAAACGATCAAGCGATTGTCCAGACAAGTTTCTCAGCAATTGAAATCGAATATACAAATAACTGAATGACATCCGTGACATCTTTGCAGCAACTGAAACGCTTGTGCAAAGGTCATTGCCACCCAAGATCCCTAGGAACAAAACTCAGCTTCTTCCTTGAACCATCAAGACGTCATTAATCAGGAACGAAAAATCTCCTTTGAACCATCAAGATATCTCTAAACAAGAACAAGACTGAACATATGTCTTGATCCTTCACGATCTTACGGCTACAGCAACTCTCAGACATTTAAGCTCCCTCATCGCCTCTACACTTCTATAAAACCTCAAATCCTTCTCATCATCTGAACACTCTCCAAACCCTCCGACCATCTCTCACCGACCAGGAACCTCACGCCATTTCATTCCCTCCACCATCTCCGGCCCCTCCATACACCATAGTTGTCTTCGTGCCCGTCATAGCATCAACCGTCTCTTGATCCAGGTGATGCACATCCCTCATGTGCCTTCTTAACGCAAACATCATAGAGAAGCTCTGCTGGCAAACTGGGCACGTAGTTCTCCCGGCATGTTTCTGCATGTGCTTGGTGAGGCTGGACGGCCAACCGTAGCTGGAGCCACAGATGTGACATTTATACGGCCGGTTACCTGTGGAATGAGACGGTGAGAATAAGAGGAGAATGAAAGAATGAGAAAAGGGAGCTTTTTGTTGTTTATTGGGGCTTTAGCGAGACCCGACTACTAAGGTCATTTTGCGGCCATGAAAAAGGGAGCGCGGCGAAGTTGAGGTTTACGGGAGGGATAAAAGGGGCCAACGCGCGAGAAAAAAAGAACGGTGATGATACGACGACGACAATGGTGGTCAAAGATGAAGCTAGCGATGATAAATGGGAACGACGGACGTGACAATAGTAAATTGAAACGACCCCCAACAGTAAGAGATAGGCAGACCTCCACTAACATCAGCTCAGATGAGGACACTGGATAAAACACGGATCAGTCAGTGTGATATAAAAGCCACAAGTTAGATAGCCACACCTGTGTCAGAAGTGTGCTGTAACACTGTGTGATCCTTTGATGTCTGTGTACCATTACAGAGATTGTGAGAAACCCGATGCATCTGGTGTGATTTAAATTGCTACGTCAGTGCCAAAGCTTTTCCCACGATACAGCATGACACTTTGTGTTGTGTATCACAATGACTTTCTCGTCGTAGCAAACGCCCTACGGCCAAAAGACTCGCTACGAAAAACGAGCGTGTATTTCAAACAGCTATATATAGTCACAGGAACAGTGGCATTGCAACTAATAAATGCATGTGCTCAGCTTGAATGCAGCCGAGCCATGAGACTAGAGCTCGTCACCTCGCGCATACTCGAGTGAAGCGTGTCAATCGGCGGCTGAGCACGTCGACAAAACAGCAAACACGCTTCATCGTTGAACTACATCAGACAAATGATAAAACAAACAAGACACGGAGATTGTCCAGTCCCTGAGGGCACAAAGCCAGTTGGTACATCGCCCACAGTCACCTCAAATCCTCCACACCACAGAAAACGACCTGGTACACCTTATAACGGTACTACCAAGTAGCCTGCTACATACCACTTGTTATGCTTCATAGCGATCCCAACTCACAGTTACAAACCGGCTGGTACACTTGTTACCGATGATACCTCACTTAGTTTCAAATCAGTTCGTGAGCCACAATATATTGCCTCACATAACTGCAAGCCAATCGACACGCTTCACCAGAGAACACAGCTCAGTCTGCACACCGAAAATCAGTATCAGCTGGAATACCTGCAAGGCACTCAATACCTAAACCTGATGCAGATGGTAAACCAGTGCAATTTATAGCAACACCGCTTCGTACCATTACAGCCCAGCTTCAACACCTCAGATCAGTACCAATCATACACCAAACCTGGCAAAACACCGTATCCAGTTAGCACCACACAATCCATAGCCACCTCGTATAGTCTCTGTTGGACAAACACGAAGAAATAAACACCGGCTACTGGCTAGCCAATGACCGGGGTTACATGAGCAGAAAAACATGTATTACAAACGGACTACAATGATGAGTGAATAAGAAAACCCGTTCCTGATACGCATTTACTTGGACATGTAACCCCGGTATTTGGCTCATATCGGTCCTGTTCCTTCCTCCCCGACAGGCGAAGTCCTTGTCTATCTCACAGGTCAACTGATTCGGTGACTCTCAAACTTAGCACACCTCCCTCCACGGTCGGAATTGACGACACCGCCGCGGTGTGTATCGATACTTTCAAGAGCGAGTGTACAGTGAACCCCTCACATCACTCCACCGCCCACACCACTATCACTCTCCGCTCCCCACACCGGTCGAACTCCCTTCAAACTCTCATCAATCGCCGCTGAATCCATGTCATGCATCTTCTTCATATGTCTCCTCCTCGCAGATGTCATCGAGAAGATTTGTTTGCACACGGGACAGACGGTGCCTCCGGTGTGCATCTTCATGTGTTTCTGGAGTGTGCCGTGAGAGGAGTAGCCCGCCCCACAGATGGAGCAGAAGACCGACTGACGAGAAAAACCTGTGAAAAGAGACGATTACGGGGGTGAGTGGTAGCTGAGGTGAGAAAGATGAGGAAAGGAAGGATGAATCATTTGAAAAGTGGTAAAGGAGAAAACATCAGATTTAGTGGTGTGAGGTGCGGCGGCAGGTAAAATAAAAATGATAAGGATGACGATGATGACGGTTAGTACTTACAGAGTAACATGATTGTACGATGAAGGTCGCATCCGTGCAATTTCTTAAATTAGAGCAAGTGAGAAGGATACTCATTATGTATTTCCAAATCATCAATTCCTGACCTTATACTAATCGTCGAAAACATAAAACAATTGTTTCCACACACACACACACACACACACAAAACAATGCTCAGAGCAATGAAACGGGTTCATTACAACCAGAGAACGGCTATTTAGAACATAAACCTACCAAGTCAATAACTTTGAAACAGCACGAAGTCACGTCACAGGCGCAAAGTGCGAAATCCCCTGTGGTCGACAAATCACACGAGTGTGATCGCTTGGACGATAGCATCTTTTCTTTCTAAAAACCTGTCTTTCTAAAAACAAAACAAAAATTATCATAAAGCACAAATGCCTAAGACATCAAGACGTCATGCCACCGTACTGCTCAGCACAACTCAAACTTATTCCAAATACCCAGCATGTCTTTCGTAGGTAATCGGTGATGGAACTGAGGCTAACCACACAAGATTGAGGCGTATGGACCGCACACAAGGACATGGGGGCACGCCCCAGTTAAGCTATCCACCCACAAAGGGAGATCGGTAACAGCCAGTCACCATCACTCGCGAGCTCACTGCTGTCTTCAACCACGGTAGTTGTAGTTGTAGACACTACAACTACGGTTGTACATCTACAACCAGCCTACAACTCTGTCAGGTGACCTCGCAGGGAATCGAACCCTAGTCCTTCCACACTCCACCCGTGCGCCCCAACCAACTACGCCACTCTACTTCTCTCTGGTCATCTCAAACACAGCATTCTTATCCATCTGATGCAAATCCATCATGTGTCTTCTGAGGTTGAACATGCTGGAGAAAATCTGGCTGCATACAGGACACATGGTCAATCCCGAATGCACCTTCATATGCTTGCCGAGGCTGTTTTGGATGGCGTATGAAGCGCCACAGATATGACATCGATGTGGCCTTAGCACATCTGTGAAATGAGACAAGAAAAAGATGTAAGGACATGGGGACAGCAGCGGTGGAACAGTGGGAAGGGGTGTTCATGTGGTATATTCCTCTTATGTAGATTTGACACTTGCTCTGAAGAGCAGAGCTTTTGCGGATGGGCAAGGGAAAATGATGATAATTACGGTAGTGGCAGGGGCGATGGCGATGACAATGATGGCGATGAAATGATAGAGCTCGTGAGCACCATAATCACTATGATAATAACAACGCTGTAGAATAAGTGCAACATGGAGCTGACGTGTGGGTCTCGCGTATTCTTTCCGCGAAAACATATGCGCACTCCGACATAGAGATAAACACCAAAGTCTATTTATTTTCAATTCAACACTACTTGACATCAAGTAACTTGAAAACGCCCTATTTTGCCCTAGAAAAGGGGCAAACAGCCAAAACAATGAAACGATTGACAAAGTAAATTCTTTTCTGAAGGAATCGAGAAAACTTTTTTGAGGATGGAGATGCTAGTACTGAGCATTGTGTTACATATGATGATGAAGATGATTAGCCAGATGCTCATTATTTAGGATCAAAATTGATAGAATAGTTGTATTACGTTTCACCCACGGGGCTTCTTCGGATACATATAGGTAAATTCAACAAATAGAACACAGAGATGCAGGCCAAGCTCAGACACAAATCATGCGCATGCAATAAATATCGTGAAAGGATTAACAGATATCTTGAGATTTAGACGAATAATAATTTTAAGATCGACCCCTAAGTGCGTACTGCGCGCTATTATTTGTCTTTGTTAATAAATACGTATACCTATTTAACAGTCGACAACACAATACGTACTACGCGAATTACGCTATCATTCCATCTCAGAATTCGTACTACGCGCACACTAATACATACACATCATTCTAAATCACAGCTAACAATGACCTATAATACCCAATCATAATCAGTGTTCGGCGGTACAGCATATCTACAGGCGCTGCCTACTGGAGCCATCTGTTAGACACGAAAGGAACTACTGCTACTATGTAGGTATCGGTGTCATATAACGCTACCAACAGAACAAGCCAAGGAACAAGCGCTAATGTGCATATGATGATGTGTAGGGAACTGGATGGAGTAAGCGCCATGATGATGTGTTTTTGTTAAGTGCTGGTTTTTTGTTTCTTATCTCAATTGATTCAGTTATTAAAAGGTTCGCTTCGTCCTTGCATCTATGAAGAATAGAAATTTCGAAGTCAGTGTTCATCGGTTGTGCTGTGGGGTGTGCTGTCAGTATATGATCACCTAGGTCAGTACCTTTCCTTTTGTTCCTAGCGTCTCCCAAGTGTTCCATAAATCTAGTCCTCACCATGCGTTTAGTTTTACCAATGTATGTATCTCCACACATTTTACATTTAATCTCATACACAACGTTTTTGGTATGGCATCTACCTTTGAGGCCACCCTCACACGTACTGCAAGTCTTACGACACCCCCTGGGACAATCAGGGGGTTGCAGTGCAGACGAGGTCAGTTGATTTGAGAGTGTAGGTCCGCTTTTCCACGCAACTCGAATATCCAAATCTGAGGACTTCACTGCTGCGTTGACTTTACGTGTGAGGGTTTCGTCAATGTAAGGTAGAGATATGTAGGTAATATTGGGAGAAGACTTTTTCTTTTGAGATTGTTTGTTTTTATATCTGATTGCGTTTTGTATGTTACGAATCAGTTTAGTCGGATAGCCGCTGGAAATGAATATGTCCGTTATTTTTTGTAGACCCCGGTCCTGTGCTGCTTTATCAGACCCCAAACGAACAGCTCTAAGCGACTGAGAGTGTATGAGGCTCCTTTTGGTCTGCATAGGGTGGCTGGAGTCAAAATGTAATATGATAGGGGCTGCTGATGGCTTAACATAAAGTTCTGTGGTGTATGCTCCTGAGGGTTCTACAGTGATTAGTGTATCAAGGAAGGGAATTTGTCTTTGTGACGAGAGATCGGTGCGTTCGAAGCTGAATTTTAGACAAGGATGGAAGCTATTAATGAACTGTATGTATTCATCTAAGTTTTGCGAGCCATGGGTCCAAATACCAAAAATATCGTCGATGTATCTAAGGTAAAGTGCAGGTTGTAGTCTATCCGATGCTAGTATGCGTGTTTCTACTGCGTTCATGAAGAGGATAGCCAGGGGAGGGGCTATACGGCTTCCCATAGCTATCCCCTGGGTTTGCTTGTAATATTTTGTAATATTTTTACTGTCTGGAAAACAACTATGTACGCTTCGGTACAAAATATTACAAGCAAACCCAGGGGATAGCTATGGGAAGCCGTATAGCCCCTCCCCTGGCTATCCTCTTCATGAACGCAGTAGAAACACGCATACTAGCATCGGATAGACTACAACCTGCACTTTACCTTAGATACATCGACGATATTTTTGGTATTTGGACCCATGGCTCGCAAAACTTAGATGAATACATACAGTTCATTAATAGCTTCCATCCTTGTCTAAAATTCAGCTTCGAACGCACCGATCTCTCGTCACAAAGACAAATTCCCTTCCTTGATACACTAATCACTGTAGAACCCTCAGGAGCATACACCACAGAACTTTATGTTAAGCCATCAGCAGCCCCTATCATATTACATTTTGACTCCAGCCACCCTATGCAGACCAAAAGGAGCCTCATACACTCTCAGTCGCTTAGAGCTGTTCGTTTGGGGTCTGATAAAGCAGCACAGGACCGGGGTCTACAAAAAATAACGGACATATTCATTTCCAGCGGCTATCCGACTAAACTGATTCGTAACATACAAAACGCAATCAGATATAAAAACAAACAATCTCAAAAGAAAAAGTCTTCTCCCAATATTACCTACATATCTCTACCTTACATTGACGAAACCCTCACACGTAAAGTCAACGCAGCAGTGAAGTCCTCAGATTTGGATATTCGAGTTGCGTGGAAAAGCGGACCTACACTCTCAAATCAACTGACCTCGTCTGCACTGCAACCCCCTGATTGTCCCAGGGGGTGTCGTAAGACTTGCAGTACGTGTGAGGGTGGCCTCAAAGGTAGATGCCATACCAAAAACGTTGTGTATGAGATTAAATGTAAAATGTGTGGAGATACATACATTGGTAAAACTAAACGCATGGTGAGGACTAGATTTATGGAACACTTGGGAGACGCTAGGAACAAAAGGAAAGGTACTGACCTAGGTGATCATATACTGACAGCACACCCCACAGCACAACCGATGAACACTGACTTCGAAATTTCTATTCTTCATAGATGCAAGGACGAAGCGAACCTTTTAATAACTGAATCAATTGAGATAAGAAACAAAAAACCAGCACTTAACAAAAACACATCATCATGGCGCTTACTCCATCCAGTTCCCTACACATCATCATATGCACATTAGCGCTTGTTCCTTGGCTTGTTCTGTTGGTAGCGTTATATGACACCGATACCTACATAGTAGCAGTAGTTCCTTTCGTGTCTAACAGATGGCTCCAGTAGGCAGCGCCTGTAGATATGCTGTACCGCCGAACACTGATTATGATTGGGTATTATAGGTCATTGTTAGCTGTGATTTAGAATGATGTGTATGTATTAGTGTGCGCGTAGTACGAATTTTGAGATGGAATGATAGCGTAATTCGCGTAGTACGTATTGTGTTGTCGACTGTTAAATAGGTATACGTATTTATTAACAAAGACAAATAATAGCGCGCAGTACGCACTTAGGGGTCGATCTTAAAATTATTATTCGTCTAAATCTCAAGATATCTGTTAATCCTTTCACGATATTTATTGCATGCGCATGATTTGTGTCTGAGCTTGGCCTGCATCT